GTTTGATGGACATCGAAAGATGCTTTCGCTTTGTAGATCCTTTGACAGCTCCAGAATCGGAAACTCTTTTTGACATAATCGAAAGTTCAAGCTTAATTTCTATAAAATTGCTCTAACAGTCTGAAAAAAATAATAAGCCGGATCCAATTAGAGATTAAGGAACAACGCAATCTGCAACATTAACTGAAATAGATAATTAGATAATTTTAGCCTAGCTTATACCGTCCGTTATACATTAAACATGCATGCATAAATGTATTATGCACATGTGTAAACGCACATGCACATACGTAGAGGTATTATGCGCATATGTAAAGGTATTATGAGAATGTGTAAATGCTACGCATGCGCAGAATATTTGTAGCTTTGAGGACCGGATATAGATCATTCTGGATTATGGATGTCCGAATTAAAGACTTTGTACTGAATTGCTTTATGAAAATTATAGCAAATTAAAATTTTATGTAATTAGAAGGTTAAACAGCTATTTTGAATTACTGTCAAAAGTCGTTAATCCGGACTCGTCAGGACTTCGGCGATTCCGGATTATCGATTTTTCCGGATTATAGATGATCAGTTTAAATCTCGTAAGATGGCATGCAGAAATTCTAAAATTAAAAATATGAAACCGTAATTTATGAAATAAAGAACAATTATGATCTAAAGGGTATCAAAATTTACAAAAAAAAAAAAAAAAAAAAAAAGCTTAATATTTATTTGTTTACTTTATTAAACATTTCTTTCAATGTAAGTTGCTTCGTTTTATGTGATAATACTTTCTCTTTAATTCTATAAACAGACATAATTTCTTGTTCAGTTACAAAGTTCCGCTGTTCAAGTCCCGTTAATTGCTGTGCCGAGAATACCGACTAACTTGTCAATTGAAATTTTTTCGTTTTCACTGACCTCTATGTCACATTCTTCATGTCTTTATCCATTTTTTGCAGCAATTCCACTTTTTGTTTGATAAACATCGAAACATACTTTCGTTTTGTACTATCCTTTGGGAGCTCCAGAATCGGAAATTCTATTTGACATAATCGAAAGTTCAAGTTTACTTTTATAGTATTGCTCTTACAGTCTGCAAAAAAAAATAAGCCGGATCCAATTCGAAAATTAAGGAACAACACAATCATCAACATTAACTGAAATCGATAATTAGATAATTTTAGCTTATACCGTCCGTTATACATAAAACGCGCACGCCAAAACGTATTCTGCACTTGCGCACACTCATATGTGCAGTCGTAAAAGTTCTTACCCGCACGCATAAACGCCTATGCACATGTGTCAACGTGGCGCATGCGCAGAAAGTTTTTAGCTTTGAGGTCCGGATTATAGATCATTCTGAATTATGGGTGTCCAAATTAACGACTTTTGACTGTAATTAAACAAAGAATTTCAATAATTATTCAGAAAAGATTATTAAATTGTTATGTGATAAATCATTATATTTTTGAATTATTGTAAAAAGGTTTCAATTAATGTTAAGAATTCTGGAATTAGTCTGTAGATAAGATTATTGTTTAAAAATTTTGAATTTTAAGAATTTTGAATTATCTTAAGAATGAAGTAAATGTAAAAAACGAATGTAAGAATTTTGAAATTGGCATACAAAATTATATAAAATTGCTTCTTGAGTATAATGCAGTAAATCTGAAATGTTCTATTATTAAATATTATTTGAATGAATATAGAAGTATTAATAATTTAAGATATTCAATTATTGTAATAAAACTGATATTAGTAATGTAATTAAAAAATGAAATTAATATAGTAAAATAAATTTGAAATTATGGTCATAATTAATGAATAATTATATGTAAAGATGGAGCATATTAAGAGAGTACTGTCTCAGAAACAAAGGCCTATTTTTATCTCTAAATAATTATTCCTTTTAACCTTCTCAAATAAGATAAAAGTTGAAGGCTCCCACCTTATGAAAAATGTAATTTTTTCATATAGAATTATTATTTGTGCTTTTTTCCATATAATGAAATGTAACCTTTTTTTAATGGAATGTTTTAGTGCAGTTCACAAAAGCCAGTTACCTTATGTAAGGAACAGAGGCCTTTATAAGTAACTGCCGGAGCACCCAATCCTTAACCAATGGTTAATTAATAAATACATCAGTAAGTAAAAATGGATATACCCAATAGATGAATATGTTCACATTTGAAACAATTAGTGGAGTTTTCCAGTTTTGTATAAAATAAGGAAATTAGAAATTTAATAATAACAGTGAAATCTTAATTTTAGTACAAATATTGTATTTATGTATTTATGATATTAAAATATGTTAAAATGTAAAAAAAGTTATGTTAAAAAATTTTGAAATTTGTCATAAATATTTAAAATACATAATGGATACACAAAATTTTTATATTGGTGATATTTTGCAAACTTCTTTTTAAAAAATGCCTGAAGAATCATAATCATCATGTGGACTTTCCAAAAACAAGAACTTTTTTAAATAAGACTGAATATTGAAAAATAGAACTCTAGATTGAAAAATAGAATTACAATTATTCTCTATTGTATAATATAAGTAATGTATATAATATATACAATTATTCTCTATTAAGCTATAGTGATTAAAATTCATGTTCTACATTATTAAAAAGTTAGTACAAAATTTCGTGATTATATTTTTCATGATATATTTCTCTTAGTCTTCTGCTTGAATGCTTTTTCTCTGAAGAAGTTTTTCAATTGCAAAGCCTTTCTCTGCTTGAAGAGAATATGTAAGAAAAAAGGTATACAAGCAAACTTCTAATTTTAATTGGCAATAGTACCTTTTATTCTTCATTTTAATTTCGGTACTTCTCCTTTCTGTCCTAAAAATAGAAACTATTTCATATATCAATCTAAACTACATCACTTCAAAATTAATATGTTTTATGATCATATGTAATACTGCAATGCAGACACCTTTTATCCAATCCTTCAATAAAATTTCAATTGAAGTCAATACTTTTTAACTCTCCCATGTCTTCTAAATCTGTCACTTTCAAACTTGCTTGTGTCAAAGTAACATGCCCACTCAGTTCCATGTATCATCCATTGTGTTAAGATATGCTAAGCTTCCAAAATTGTGGGGGACATTTAACACCCATTTTATTTATGCTGGATTAATGAAACATATGTATAACATGAATAAAAAGGGAGCAACTGAATTTGTCCCCATCTGCAAGTTTGTTCTTTGTTATGAACCTACAACATTTCCAATATTTCAAGTTATTACACACACACATATATATATGATATTTCGCAAAATTCTTTTTAAAAAAACCTTGCCTGATGAATCATAAGGCCTTTATAAGTAATGTAATTAAAAGATATATATATATATATATATATATATGGAGAGAGAGATAATTCATAATAACTTATAATAAGAAATCTTTCCATATATCATCTCCAAGGAACACAAATTGAATTTAAAACCATGAAAGAAAATTCTTATTATAAATTATTATGAATTACTGGTTTATTACTTTGCAGCTTTAGTGCAAGTTTCAGGCTTTTCAATTTACTTTTAATTACTTTATTTTGAATTTATATATATATATACACACAGGGTGATTCTAAATTGTTTTTACAAATTAAGAGGGGTGATAGTACCCATCCAGACAAGAAAAAGAAAACATTGAGCACATAATGTTTCAAAAAACATAAAGGATTAATTTTTCATCAGCACATGAAATACTAGAATGCCCGGCGGTCATAGGAAATGACCGCTGTTCTAGATATTATAAATTGTAATTAAAATGTTTTGTGCAAAGGTGTCTGCTAATTTAAACTGAATTATCCAGGGCAGGTGATGAGGACCCCCCTTTGCTTACTGCCCCAAAGGGTTTCCCCTTCTAACTTGCTTAATTGCTTAAAGTAGAGTGCAATGAAGGAAACCACTGGCGGTACAATTTCAGAGCCATCGCTATTTCAATCAATAAAGGTGATTTAAATAATGAAATGTTAATTCACATGTCAAAGATCTCTTTACACACAACATTTCTTGTGTAGATCTTTCCATCATTTTTCAGCTCACCTTGCAGAGGATCATCCATTATTTTTAATTTTACAACCGTTCTTTCATGAACGCTTAAACAGGCAACATAAAGTTAACCGTGTTCAAATGCAAGCTCAAGTAAAAATATGCCAACACGCTTAAGCGTTTGGCCCTGAGACTTATGGATGGTCATAGCAAAGGTGAGTTTTACAGTAAATTGCCTACGTCTCAATTGAAAAGGCAACCTTGTTGCCACGGCAACTTCAGCCCATTGGTTAGTACAGCTACGCAAGCAACCAATAAACTATCGGCGACAAACAGAAACTTACGCCACATATATATATATATATATGGGTTCCGCAGGTCCATGGCACACCATTTTGACCATTCACGTCTTCCTGGGGCTTTAATTAGCCGAGATACTAATTAAAAACTAATTTTCCCCTATGCTTTCCCTATATTCTCCACTTTCTTTCTTGGATTTTCCCTTTTAGAGGGATTTGGCTATGTGCCAAATTCTTTTTTCTCGAATATCTACGGAACGGTGTCGAATTGAAATTCGAGACGCAAATCTCCGGATTCCAAAAAATTCTTCGAATCCATCGATACCATTCTCATCTTCGTATGACTTTAATTGGCTGAGATATTAATTAAAAACTGCAGAAAAGTTAATTTCTGCGCTCATTTTTCCGAGTGGAAACAATAAACTATCGGCAACACACACTTTAGCTGCTTATATATATATAAAGATAATTGTTAATGATTATTTTTATTGTTTTATGATTTTATGTTATATACTGTGCAGTAAAATATAGTGGAATTATATTTAAAATGCTTATTAAAACAAAATAAAGATGGAAAATAGCAATTTCTCAAGCTAGGAAATAGTATATCTCAACTTAGCAATAATTTATAACCTAATAAAAAAAAAAGCTTAAATAAGAAATAATTTTTCCTAATAATAAAAATATAATTTTGTTTCTTTTTTTACCCTTTTGAAAGCATGTTGTTTATCTAAGAAAGCAGACACTGCAGATTCAATTAATTCATTACAGTATTCTTCAGAAGATATTTCTTTAAGGGTGGCATATATTCCAAATTCATCCTAATAAAAAATAGTTTTAATATTTTATTATCAGTTATATATAGAGATATAAATAAAGAAGATTTTTGACATATCAGGTGCAGAGTTTACATAAACAATACTTTCCCTTCACAGATAACAATTTGCCAAACAAGTAACTCAGCTTTAAGTTGAATATCAATTATATCTACGACACATATAACAAAATCTGAAAATCAAAAACTATCATTCATGCCAAATTTTTTGCTTAAATTTAAAACTCTTAAAACAGTAAATTAAGCAGAAAATCTGATTATTAAATAAATTGGCTGATTATTAGCTAAACTCGCTATTATATAAATTGCCTTAAATGTCTTGAATAATCCTAAAAATTAATTATTTTAAAAATGTTTTTAAATTTTAAAATGTTTTTGTTAATGTTTTTTAAAATGAATACAAACACAGATAACATTCATGGTGATTTACTGAATACATAGCAAAATAATTCTGTTTTCAAAATTCTTGATATTTAAAAAAAAAAAAAAAAACTATCCGCCTTAAAAATCTAATGCTTGGAAGAGATTTTTTATCTAAAAGAGTGAAAAAAGTGGAAGTAAGCAATTTTTAATTTTTTTTCCTTCAGTTACTTTTTAAAACTTTGATATTCTTCAATAAAATAAATAAATAAATGCTTCACACAAAAACCAAGCAAAAATAAAGTTGTTGCTGATTAAAAGTATAACAGTATTGTTAAGTACCTATTCTTAAATTACAGTAAATAAAAACATCTTCTTAACTTGAAATATTAAAAAGAAAAAGAAAATCCAGTAATGTAACTTGTAGGAAAAATACTTCCTGACTCAATCATGACACACACATGCACATTTTTGCACAGTTGCCTGTATATAAGGCTTGTAGTTTGTTTTCCAGGTTTGATTCCTCAAACAGGTAACTACAATAAACACCACTTATTTTGTGATGGTTTTCTATTTACTTATTGTAGAAACGTAGATTTCATGTTCTCTAGACTGGCAATAGTTAATTTGGATGTTTAAGTGACAAGATCCTATGAATATAAAATGGCAACAACTTTCTATTTAAAAAAATATGTGTGTGCGTGATTATGGCAAAGCCTCGAGGGCTATCTGCCTAAGGGGAGGGATGCCTTCGTGGAGGACTTTCTAAGGGAAACTGGCTCGTATACACGTTACACATGGGGAAAACCACGAAAACGCTCATGCAGCCAGCCCGTTCGCGGGATTCGAACCTCGGACCGAACTACCAGTGTTCAGCGACTTTACCGCTCGTCCGCTGGTGGGCCCCTTTAAAAAAAATATGAATACTTCACTTCGTAACACGTATAAACATTTTGTGCAGCAATAGCAATAACTTATGCTTCTGAATGTTTAAAAAAAACGGACTTTTATGTCTTCCATTATTTAAAAAGTGTATCCAATGTAGGAAATTTAGATATTTCATCTCAATTATCTAACCATGAGTGAAAACTAATTCATATATTATTTATTATCACTTTCTTTAGTGTTTATCAAAATGTATTTACTTCCTAATACAGTACAAAGTCTGAGATCCGGACTCATTGGGACTTCGGGAATTCCAGATTTGAGATTTTTCGGATATTAGATTATCAGTTTAAATCTAGTAAGATAGCATGTAGAAATTATGAAATTAAAAATATGAAATGCTGATTTATGAAATATTGAAGCATTTATGACCTAAAGGGTGCCAAAATTTACAAAAAAAAAAAAAAAAAAAAAAAAAGCTTGATATATATATATTTGTTTACTTTATTAAACATTTCTTTCAATATGAGTTTTTGTGCTAATACTTTCTCTTTAATTCTATAGACAGACACAATTTTTTGTTCAGTTACAAAGTTCTTAAGTTCATTTCTTCATAAAATATTTTGGCTTAAGCCATTATCCCTCAATGGCACACCGTCGCTGCGATGCTGTCTACCTATTCAATCATCACTTTGTCATTATCATCATTTCTAGCACATCGAATAATTTTTTTGTTATTCATTGCGACGGGGTGTTGGAATCACAAAAAATTCTTTTTTCTGTTTTCTTATTTCATATACAGTTGACTTTCAAATGTAGCGGACGATAATTTTGAGACGAATCCATTTTTTGTAGCAATTCCACTTTTTGTTTAATGGACATCCAAACAAGCTTTCGCTTTGTAAATCCTTTTGCAGTTCCAGAATTAGAAACTCTTTTCAACATAAACAAAAGTTCAAACTTTAATTTTCATAAAAATGCTGTAATAATAACAGCCTGCAAAAAATAATAAACTGAGGAACAGGGCAATCTGCTGTATTAACTAAAATTCCTTGGAATCAATAGAGTACAATTCGAGCCTAGCTTAATAGCGTCCGCCATACATTATTGGCTCTGTATCATGACATTGGCAACGAAAGATAAGTTCTTCCGCTCACAATTTTGTCTAGCACCTATCGTGCACTGAAGCAGTTAAGCCTGAATTGTATTAATTTAGATTTTATTATACTTACATCTATTTTTTGCAAATGCTTAAAGCTTATCGTGGATTGGTGCTAGATATCTTACCGCTTTATGCAGTCTCTGGAGGTCCTAAACTCTGCTACGTAGCACCTTCCTGAGCTCTAAATTTTTGCCAACCTAAATTTTCGGTCCCAGTGCTTTCCCTAAATTCTAAAAATTTTGCCATCGCTTAATTTTGTTGCTTTGTGCTTCTCTAAATTCCGAAAATTTTTACTTTCCTGAATTCTGCCGCCGGGTGCGGCCATACGAGCTATGACGCCGGTTCTTGGTTTATGTAAATAACAAATCAGTTATTCTTAATTCAAACAGCATTAAATGTAATGTTTTGGTTTATGAGTATCATTAACAAAACCTGTTTTTAGCATATGGAAAGAAATTTTTGTTAAATTTTTCCTCGTCGACAATTCTAAATGCATTTAACTTGAATCTGTAATCATTGCCAAGTGTAATGTCAACATAAAAAATTACCATAATTTTTACTATTCAATTACTAATATAAAAAAAATTATTTAGGCATCACTGTATGAGTCATTACTCAAGTTATCATGTGCTGATAAACATGTGGTGGATAATGAATAATTATTCGCCAGGTTGGCGTCAGGGATATAAAATATTAGTAGAGTAAAATCAACGATATTTCTATATAGAAAGTTTTGGTTTGAGATGTATTGCTGAGCAGATACGCAGCTATGAAGCCAAATTATTGATCACACAAATGTATGCTAAAATAGATTTTTTCTTGAATAACGAGTCATTTTATTTAGTGAAGTGAAATTAAGAATCGAAATTATCCACATGTTTTATTATGGAGTCGAAAAAAACAAATGCGTAAAGCATACAAAAAAAAAAGTTGGCAGCGGCTTTGAGATCATTTCAGATATTAGATGTCCGGATCCTGGACTTTGTACTGTACAATTTTTATACAGTACTTGGTGTCATTGACGTATCTTTACTTTCTTATAACATATTTTACCACTGTACACCTAAAAAAATTAATCACATGTTAATTTCAATATATAGTAATTACATCTAACTTTTAATGTACTATGTTTGCAAGAAAAAAATTTTTTTTTTCGGCAGATCTATTATAAAATATATTTGACAGTTACATTTTTCCAATATTGTGGATTATCTGATAAATATTCAGTTTCAGGAGTCATCAGTTAATCAGGAGTTTGCTAAACATCAAAAGTACTTGCTTAGTTATAGACTCCTTTTTTTTTTTTTTTTTTTTTTTTTTTTTGACTATGCTAACACTTCAAATGTAGATTAAGAAGACTCTGGAACAGCTACAAGAATACAATTGTGAAGAACCTCTTTTGCCCCATACAGCATATGAACTTCTTTGCTATCTTAACACATTATGTAAAATATAAGTAAGAGACAATTTTATATAAGAAGTTTTCCATGAAAAATGGAGTCCTTATACACTTTGGAATAACTAAACACAACACTGAGAAAACCTATCATAAATTTGAAAATATCTGATCAGTCAGAACATTGAAAATCATTCAAAAAATTGGTAAAGAAATTTTGCTAATGAATGCAGATGACATTTAATATTCTGTTATTCCAGTAGTGAAAGTTTTTATTGATTTAATACAGAAGTATATGATGTGGCTCATATAATCCATTTTGATTAACATACTATATAAAATTAAGAATAATTTCAAGCATTTAATTCAAAGAATTTATAGAAATTACATATTTAGCCCAAAGTTTTGGTTTGGTCAAATTTTTCTCTTGTCTCTACGCTTTTTGAAACATCAAGATCCATGTGGGCACATGACCTTATAGTAGTAAATAAGTGATACCTCAAATACATCAACTACATATAAGTAAGTGCACTATGCATGTGAATTACAGCACAGCCAGTTAAGATGTAGAAAACACTGCATATTAAAATTTTCAAAAATGATAGAAAGGAAAATGTTTTATTACTTTTCCTTTAAAAGTTAATTCTAACAGAAAAATATTAAATTTTAATTGCAACAAAAATTACATAATTTTAACATAAAAATACACATAAATTATTTTATAAGTTATTTTCTCCATCCTTACAGCATGCCTTCAAGGTATAATGGTAGCATACTCAACAAGTATTTGAGAGGTCCAGATTCGAGTGCCAGCGAGGACATTACACACTTTTCCTGTCTTCTGCTTAAAAAAAACAAAACCCTAATGACTCTTCAGCTGGTGCCCGAATTAAAAGTTAGTGGACGATAATTCGTCAACATCAGGATTTGGCAATTTGGTTCCCTAATACCTAGTCACCCTTTAAAAAAGGGGGAGTATATAAGGTATTTTCTCTGTCCCTTCTGCATGCCTTCATGGCGTAACTGGAATCATATTCGAAAGGTTCAGGGTTCGAGTCCCGGCGAGGACATTGCACATTTTTCAGGTCACTTGCTTCAAAATAACCAAATGACTCTACAATTTCCTGCCTTAAAAATGTAACTTATCCATTACTTTAGTCATGCCTCAAAAATGCATATTATCATACCCATTATTTTTCTACAATACGAATATCATTGAAAAAATTGCAGATACACCATCAAAAAATAGTTACCAATTCTCACTGAAAATTTGAAACATGATCAGTCTTGAATTCAGCAACAAAATAATAATTGCCAATCCTCACTGAAAATCTCAAACATGATCAGTCTTGAATTCAGCAACAAAATAATATTTCAAAATTATCACTTACTTGCAGCTTTATTAAACATTTGTATGAATGCAATAAAGTCTTGTCCACTGGGCTGTCCATAGTTTCCAAATATTCCAATAAATGTATTCCAGCATCAAGCATAGATTTTACATAACTCCTATCATACTAAAACATTAGAAAAAAAAAGTTAATCGCCTTCATTAAGATAATTTCAAAATAGCTGACTATGAAATATAAGCATGGGGAAGATTAGCACACTCATTCTCCCTTGAGAAAAAAGGTCACAGTATTTAGTAGTCAAAAACTACGTAAATACTTTTACAGAATTTTTTTAGTCAAAATATACATAAAATATTTTTAATTATTATTTTCTTACATAATCTCTAACTACTCTCCATAAATAATCCTCTTTTAATAGGACAGTATTCTTAATATTTAATCTCCTTATAAGTAGTTTCAAAATATTAAAATCAAATCTATGCAAGTTCATTTATTTAAAATTCTGATGAAAGATGTACATTTTTAACTACATCAAAAATAGTGATTCAACTTTTCCATTAATATGGAAGTTTAAAGAAGAATTTATATAATTAAAGTTAAGAGTAAACTGATTTCCTACTTACAAACGTTTCAATGTTAATAAATATCTCTATGATAATTTGAGGCCATATTTTAATCTACAGTATTATTTTTAAAACACATATTATTAGATAAACATTTACTTATAAAAATTCATAGGCATCTCACTGCCTAATAGTTACATTTCCTTTAAAAAACAATTTCAATTCTTAAAGATTGCTAGCATTCCTCTAGATTAAGAATGCAAAAATGTTAAATAATTGCATAAAGATATTAATTATTATTTACTTAAAATGTTTATTTAAGCAAAATTTTCAGACGTGTGATGAGGCAAACATGCAACATCAATGATTTAACAGAATTAATCATTTTTATAACTTCTCGAAACTTGATTTTTCTGTTTTGGTGTATTTCCTCAACACCAGGTGCCAGAAGTTTGATTTCAGCTTCTTTCTTTGCAATAATTGCCTTTATAATCATCGCTGATTCAATGACCTGAGATTTGACAATAGATGAAAAGGTTGCAGCCGAAAACAATGCAAGGCAAAAACGGCACGGTACAAAATGTTGTGGGAGAAAAGAAAGCAAAGAGAAAACATCACAGTTCTAAAGCATCCTGGTACAAAATATTGTGGTTCAAAAACTTTGCAGCTTAAAAACATCGTCGTTGAAAATATCGTGGTAAAAAATAAAGTACATGCGAATCATCAAATGATGATAACATCGCACACATGCGTTTTTTAAACCCCATACTATGTTACTTTTGTCAAAACTAACAAATGGACATCCAAAAAACGATTACATGGTAGGCATGAAAATGTTAACGACACTTTAAGAATAAATGGAAACAAAACAAAATATAATTTTCACTAAAACATTTATCAGATTAAAAAAAATATGAAAGAAAATAATTTTATAATTAACTAAGCAATTTTTATAGAGGTAACCTCATGCAGTTAATTATCTTCCTTTTACTAAGCATTTTTAGACTGTATTCTTGATAAAAAAAATAACAATAATCAGTAAAACTTTATAAAAAAAGGGTAATTTATTAATGAGCTTTGTTAATTAACTATGTAAATTTAAAATTCTATTAAGTTCTATAAGTTGCATTAATTTTCTACTCATTTTCAATTTTTAAATGCTTAAGTTTCATTCTTATTTTTTCATCAAAAATTTATTAGGTCATTCAAAAATATGAAATATAGAATTAAAATAATCCCTCTTTCCTTCTTACACTTCCAAATCATTATGCAACCATGCATTTACAACTTTTAAAACCTGAAAATGCACATGTGCGGTACTTTATTTTTTACCACAATGTTTTTAAACTGCAAAGTTTTTTAACCACTCTATTTTTGACCATGATATTTTAGAACTGGGATGTTTTCTCTTTGCTTTCTTTTCTCCCTCGATGTTTCGTACTGTGACGTTTTCATCTTGCATTGTTTTCTCTGCGATGTTTTCAACGGACATCGATGAAAAGCAGCTAATCCTGTTTCTTCCAGAAACAAATATTTTTCAAAATAAAAAAAAGGCTGTGATCAGAATACCATCTTATAAAATTAAAACATGATTCAAAACTGAAATCTCTGCCCAGGTGTCCAAACAGAAATATGGTTTGTTTGATCACACAATCCTTTCATTACTGCCATGTGATTAATGTACTTGTGATGTCAGAAATTAACATTTGTTTAATTTTATCAAAGTTTTCTTCAAATAAAACCCAACAAAACAGTTGATTAAAGGAATTTTATAAGAGAAGCATGCGCTAGTTCCTTATTATCTCATCCTAATATTAAAATCAGTGAACATGACAAAATTGTGGAAATTTGTGAAAACTTATACACAAAAATAATAAAAATACAGGCTGTTTTCTTTCATCATGATATGTTTTGGATCAATTTTGTCATGAAATATGAGGACTTCCATTTTGATTCATTTGACTCCATTCCATCAAATATTGAGGTAAAGGCATAAGGAAAGAAATAAGACAAAATATGCTAATATGGTAGCAAAAATGTATGGAATGGCTTTAACAGAAAAGTACCACAATTCCTTTTTATGTTTTACAAAGATCTCTTTAATTCACTTAAAAAGAATCTTCTTTTAAAGATCTCTTTAATTTAAAAGAAATCTTTGTAAATATTGTAGAAATTGATGGAAAATTAATCACAAAATTAAAAAAATAACATAGGCTGTGCTCTTTCATCATAATATGCTTTTGGTTAATTTTGTTGTGAAATATCAGAATGTTTCTTTTTGGTGTACACAATCATTTGATTCCCTTCCACCTAGTAGAAGCTAAAAGTGTAGGGAAAGAAATAAGCCAAAATATGCTAATATGGTTTCAAAAACATATGGTATAGCATTAACAGGAACTTTTAAATTACTTTATTCAGTCTTAAAAAAAAAAAAAAAAAAAAAAAAAAAAAAAGTACATATTTATCTGCTTAAATGAAAATGCTAAAAATTTAAGTGACACACATAGATAAAAGGTCAAAAATACCACTGACATACTGAAGTAAGCTCTCAATTAAATAAGTAAACATAGCTGTAATTTAGACAAATGTAAACATTAAACTACTTTGGCACACAATAAATGAATTAAAAGAGTAAGGATATGTAAAATATTTAATACTTCATTTTTAACATCCAATAAAGAATCTTCCAAGCTTAAAGTAGTATATTTCAATAGTCTATGGGCACATTCTATAGCTTCTTTTATAGGAACAGTTGATAAAACTTCTAACTTCTCATTAATCTGGAAATTTAAATAATATATGAATGAATACATTGAAATAAAAGTAATTAAATATTTTACTGAGCTTTTTCTGCATCATAAATATCAGTTCATTGTATAAATTGCATAATTTTTAACAGATACTTAAAATCTGATAAAATATCTCATTTCATTTACATTGCTTTTGAGCAACAAACAGTTATACTTTAGATTTGGAAAAAGACTGAAGTTACTTATTACCAACAGAGAAAAAAAAATTTCTAGAAATGAAGTAAATATTTTAAACTTTACAAGAGTGCAAATGATTGAAAAATTTTATAGTTACGGGAAAAGCAAAAAAATATTAAAAAATTTATGAAACACAGAGACAGTATTTCAAAGGAAGCACTACATACCTCATTTTGGTTAATTGCAAAACTTAAATATCTGAAATAAACATCTCCCTCCAATGATTCATCATACACTGCAATTATTTTTTTTGCATCTTCAAGAGCTGAAGATCTGTTTTCCTTAAAAATGTGATTTACAAGACCCTGAAATAATATACAATTAATTCAATTCAAACTTATGCTAGCTTAAATGTATTGAATACAACTACATCAATCAACTACAACATATATTTTACTTACATCAACAGGCTCCTGATCCCCATTGATAGGAAAATTTTTTAAATTATATTTAATTACAATTTCTTTAAGACCAGCTAATTTTGACTGCATTTGAAATTCTTTTTTCCTAAAATTAAAAAAAAATAAAGGATAACAAACTGTATATAAAACAAAAATAGATACTACACAGAATGCCCCAGACTAAAATCCCCAAATACTTCAAAAATGCATTTTGACCAAAGAGTAGCAAAATAAATATAACTTTAAAAGAAGACTAAAAGTTTTCAGATTTTAATAGATTTTTTTTTTTTTTTTTTTTTTTTTTTTTATTTAAGCACCCTTTTCTTCGTACTTACATCACATACAGTTCACCAACAAAACCAAAAAATGCTTAAAAACTTGCTTTCAGCTACTGAGTTTGTTAATCAAAAATTCACGTTTTATAAAATATGAAATAAAGGAGCATACATTTAGAACAATGCAGTGTTAAGTTCTGACATACATATTTATATTCTTTTCAGTCATTTTTCAGTTTATCATATCAACATCCAGTTTTCTTAGTAAGAAACTAGCACCCCCCTCCAATTTTTTTTCTTTTTATTACCAACTTTTTATATGTTAACTTTTTATTAAATATCACATTCTTTGCACTTATGCCACTTAGATTCAATTCAATTCAACAGCAAAATCACAATATACTTAAAAACAGCATATCTTTAGATTAACAATACAGTGATAGAGCTTGCTATATGTATTGTTATATTCTATAGATGAATGAGTATATTAATATTATTTATTAAACTATGGAATATTGCTGTTCTTCAAAATCTAAAATATTATTTCTTTAAAAACTAGCCACTCATATGGCCAGGCATCAAAAATAATTATCATAAAAAAAGGATATAATGATTTTAATGAGTCCAGTTCCTATAGATTCATAAAAATACTGAATATTTTTAATCAGACATCTCATGTTTCTAATGCATGTTGATTTAAATCAATCACATTAAAAAATAGGAAAAAATAATCTTAAGAACTGTGCTTATTACTTTTTAAGGGCTTATTTTATTAACTTAGTAATATTCCAGATTAAATTTGAAAGAATCTTAGGCTTTACTGAATAGCAACATGCTGGTGTGTGGAAGATAAAAGTTTTTTATTATCAGCCACAGCAACACATTGCTTTCATACAGCAGAGCTTGTTAATTCAAACTGAAAGATAAATATTTTACATTTTTCTGAATGGCAACAGTCTTGCGTGCTGGAGATAAAAATGTTTTTTTTTTTTCAACAGTGTTGCCACTGCTTCCTTTCAGCTGCTGAGTTTGTTAATCAAAAATTCATGGTTTATAAAATACGAAATACAGTACAAAGTCCATAATCCGGACTCGTCGGGACTTCGGCGATTCCGGATTATAGATCATCAATTTTAATCTGGTAAGATGGCATGTGTGCAGGCAAGCCTCCACATTTATTCAACATCAAGTCTGTTCACTGCGACCACTCAAAGACAGAGCGAAATTCATGGCTACAACCGGTTTCTCCTCCTTCAGCTGTTGGGCTCCAAAGGTGTAGGTCGTTCTTCTGGCTGTCTTAACCCCGCCTGACGTGGGCGCCATGTTTGTTTTTTTCGTTCTTTTTTGACTGCCATCTCCATATTGTGTGTAGAGTAATGTATTTCGCCGAGTAAAGAAATTGGTACTGAAGATTCTACTAAAATTATCTAGATACTGACTTCTGTAGTAAATTAATGATGTTCTATGACTTGAAATATCCTTGAAAGGAGTTCATGTGCACATGTTCCACTCTCCTGATGATACGAGTATTTGCCTAGTGTTTCTTCAAAAATATATTGGAATAACTAGTCAACTCAATTTCCTCCATTATAAAATTTGACTTTTTTTATCATGAAACTTTGTTTAAAGATGATGGACTGAGATTTACTTTGATTGAAATATTACGCATTTCTTGTACGAAAGGTTAGCTTTCAAAATGGTAAGACTGCTTCTTTCTGCCGCTGTATGATCAGGATTGCAAATCTTCTGTCTGGCGATATTTACTTAATTTATGCTTGTATTAATTCAAAATTTTATGATGTCAAGATATAATAAATATTACTTAATTCACATGAAGTGTCATCCTTTGGGGGTAGGTTACTTCAATTTTATATTTCTTTATAGATCACACATTCCATCATTACATTTGGCTCATCATGTTTTATTACAGCATGCAGAAATTATACAATTAAAAATATAAAAATATGAAATCGTAATTTATGAAATAAAGAACAATTATGATCTAAAGGATAACAAAAATTTACAAAAAAAAAAAAAAAAAAAAAAAAAAAAAAGCTTAATATTTATTTGTTTACTTTATTAAACATTTCTTTCAATGTAAGTTGTTTAAGATGCTTCCACAAAAAATTCAAAAAGTTCCTTTTTCTTTTGTCCTATATAGTGGACATTCCAATGCCATACTTCTCGCATGATTTTGAGACAAATAGGCCTTTATACATTTTTTGCAGTAATTCCATTTTTTGTTTGACGGACATTGAACCATGCTTTTGCTTTGTAGATCCTTTGGCAGCTCCAAAATCAGAAACTCTCTTTGACATAATCGAAAGTCCAAGCTTAATTTTTTTTTAATTGTTCTTAACAGTCTGCAAAAAATAATAAGCCGGATCCAATTAGAACAGCGCAATGTTCAACATTAACTGAAATGCCTTAGATAACTTTAGCCTAGCTTATACATAAACGCACATGCATAAATGCATTATGCGCATGTGTAAACGCATAATGCTTTTACGCATGTGCACAAAGTTTGTAGCTTTGAGGCCTGGATTATAGATTATTCCAGATTATGGACATCTGGATTACAGACTTTGTACTGTATGCAGTCAAAAGTCTTTAATCCAGACCTCAAAGCTACAAACTTTCTGCGCATGTGCATAATACGTTTATACATGCGTGTTTAATGTATAACGGACAGTATAAGCTAAGCTAAAATTATCTAATTATTTATTTCAGTTAATGTTGCAGATTGCATTGTTCCTTAATCTTCTAATTGGATCCAGCTTATTATTTTTTGCTGCAGACTGTTAGAGCAATTTTATAAAAGTAAGCTTGAGCTTTCGATTATGTCAAAAAGAATTTTTGATTCTAGAGCTACCAAAGGATCTACAAAGTGAAAGCATGTTTCGATGTCCATCAAACAAAAAGTGGAATTCCTGCAAAAAAATTGATAAAGACATATCCTTTGTTTCTCTAAACATTTCGAAATCTGTTTATCAATTTCACGCTTCTCTGCGATGGGGGGGGGGGAACGTTGCGGCGTGCATTGAACTGGATGATGATCTGTCAGCACTATCCTTATCTTCAGGGCAGATGTTTTTATTTTATTCGGCTTATAATTCCTTCAGTAATGTATGCTTTACACATGCGCGCGTTGAAAGAAATGTTTAATAAAGTAAACAAATAAATATTAAGCCTTTTTGTTGTTGTTGTTGTGTTCCTTTTCTTACCCTTTAGATCAAAATTAATCTTTATTTCATAAATTACGGTTTCATATTTTTATTTTTATAATTTCTGCATGCCATCTTACCAGATTTAAACTGATGATCTATAATCCGGAAAAACCAATAATCCGGAATTGCTGAAGTCCCAACGAGTCCGGATTAAAGACTATATAACAAAAGAAATTCAAAATTTGGGCTTCCATGTGCATATGTTCGTGTGGAGGAGTACATTATTCAAAATTTGGTGGCTATGATCATAATCGTTTTTCCAGAATGTGAGGAACATACATATGTATATGCATATTTTTCATTATTAAATTTCTTTAAAAATAACAAAGGGTGGTAATATTCAGTGGCAGCAATTTCAAAAGTGATATGCCAGATATAGAGAACCAATGCAAAATCCCATTTTGAGACCCTTTTTGGGTTAGTTTTATTAACATAATATGACGTTTACAATTTACAGGGCATTGAAGACCAGGAACAAGAAGATGAAAAGGCTAGCTGCTTTTTAATCATCTTGTCATCAAGCATCCTATCTGGAATCTTTTAAACATTCAGAGCCTTACTTTGTGAATTTCAAGAGCATACTGAGAATGTTGTCCAACAGATTCACAATATTCTGCATCAGTATAACAGCTAACCTTCGCATCTGATATGCCTCATAGCTTTTAAATTACACATTTTCTGGTACATATTTGCAGAACATATTTTGCTTATCACTGAACACAGAATGTAGTGCCAGCATTTGGGGATTTCATTATGAGAAACTGATATACTATATAAGAGTGTTCTTTACATTTTAGTTTTCTAAGTACAATGCCTAATGTGTCAATTTATTGAGAGCTGCTGAAAAAGAAGGGAGGGGAGGAAATTGTCCCAGAAGACACTGAATGCAATGAAACAATTGTAATGTATATACATACATAAAATTATTAGCAAATAATTTAAAAATAATTCGAAGCTCAAGATTCAGGCTTTCAGGTGCCTATATTTGGGTGGAGGACTAAATTATTCAAAATTTGATGGCTCTAGGTATCATTGTTTTTTCATAATGTGAGAAACATACATACATTCATGCAGATTCTTCATTACTTAATTTCTTTTAATATAATACAGGGGAATAATATTTGGTGGTAACAATTTGAAAAGCGATATAGCCATTTATAGGGATTCCACGCAAAATGCTGTTTCCAGACTTATAGCCCTTCTAGGCTAATAACAAAATAAATAAAAATTCAAAACTTTTTTTAATAACACAACAGTAGACCATAACTCATACTTTGGGAATCACTACTATACAATGTGTTTCAAACTGCATGATTAAATAACTTTCAAACAATTGGTCATAAGCCCATTCCAGTTTAGAAAATGAATAAAATAATGTAAGTTTTCCAGACTGTGACACTTTCTGGACATGAAATTTTTTATGCTGTGTCTACAAAGTAAGTTCTAAATAATACTTTGTTCTTATCTTATGAGAGATATTTGGGGGAGGTTGGGTGTGTGCTAAATATATAAAATTGACCCTGAAACATTTGTCAAAATTATAGGATTTAAAATAACTGTCACATGAGATAAAAGAAGTGCTTTTAAGGATCATATAAAAATTA